ATGTGATGCATTGTGCCCTGGGATCACTTGTTTAAGAAAGAGTGGTTTAATAATGCAATAAATAAATAAAATAGGAATAGGGTGGATTTGAATGTTTCCAGCTAAACTTTTCCCCTGTTACATTCTTAGGAGATGTAAAGGCAAAATGGCCAAGAGCCGGGGGAAATGTTGATTGTAATTTGGAATACAACATAAACTTATTCCCTCTCTCTCTCTCTCTCTCTCTCTATATATATATATATATGGGGTGAAATTCTGGTGCTTTTCTGTTGCACTGTCTTTTAAAATTATTATCAGCAGCAAAATACAGTAGCAAACAGAGGCTCTTCTATATTTATGTATTCATTAATTAGTTTAAGATTCCTGTATCGGTTAAACTCCGGTGAACAAGTTAACATTTATTTTCTGACAGAATTATTCACTCAGTTTAACAGAGGCCTGAAAGAGAACTCTAGACGTTCTAGAACTCCTTCTCAATTGCTTCAGAAGCCCCCATTTCCCCCCCCATTTCCCCAGAGTCCCACTTAGTTTTGCTTAAAGGGATAGTACAGTAAATACAGACATGAGATGTAACAATCACACATCAGCAACGGAGGAGTGAAATGCTAACAAGTAACATATTTCCTAACTGAATTAGAGATTTTTTTTTGGGGGGGGAACGGGATGAGAAACCGAAATTGGCAGATTCATCTGCCCGTTACCTAGACACAGGTTGATTCCCTCAGTAAGAATTAGGCCTCTTGAGCTCTCTCCACACAGTGGTCCCCTGTGCTGACTGCCTGATACTGCTATTGACTTCCAGCATTTATGGCTTATTAGCCAGATTTCATTGAGCGACTTTGGCACCAAGACATTTCAAAATAGACTAAGGTAAAAGTTTGCCTACAGAGTTTGTCCATTTGTCCTCCGTTCGTCCACAGCACTTTCCTGGTCATGTGGCCAGCATGACTAAACTGCTTCTGGTGCAATGGGACACCATGACTGAAACCAGAATGCACAGAAACGCCATTTACCTTCCCGCCATCGTGGTACCTATTTATCTAATTGCACTGGTGTGCTTTCAAACTGCTAGGTTGGCAGGAGCTGGGACCAAGCAATGGGAGCTCACCCCATCACGGGGATTCAAAATGACAACCTTCTGATTGGCAAGCCCAAGAGGCTCAGTGGTTTAGAGCACAGTGCCACCTGACTGGGACCACTGCATGGGAGTACTCTTTTACCTCACATCCAGACTGATTCATCTCAACTTTACAATGACCGAGGGCCTGTTTGAAATAATCACATTGGCTGCACAATTGACATACCAGTGGAGTAATGTTGATTTGAGAAGTAACTATTGCAGGAGCCATGTGGGAGTCAACTATATGGAAGTATCTTCTGTGGTGCTCAGTTATTTTAAGAAGTGAACAAGGATTGCCACTGGTCCTGTAAAATACAGGATTGTCCCATATTTCAATATAAAATGCTACATCCTGTACTGATACAATTTGTCCTGCATTTGAGGTCTTCTCTCTCTCTCTCGGGCAAGTTAGGGTTCCTCTCCAAATGCATGTGTTTGAAAGGGTGCATGAAAGGTCATATATTTAAGCGAAGCACATATTTACAAATTAATGTGTATGTGTGTGCACGTGCGCATGTGTGCCAAATTCCAGAGGGGCCATTCTGTTAGCCTGGATTAGATTGTAATGGATGGTTCTGAAGTCACCAGATAAAAAAAAATCCAGAACAAAAATGATAACCCTAAACTGTGAACCTTTCTTGGGCCTGGCCCAGAGGCTCCAGCTTGTGCAAAACACTGCAACTAGACCACTGATGGGGGCGGACTATGGCCAGCATATAATTCTAGTGCACTGGCTGCTTATACACTACCAAACCAGGTTCAGATTTCTTGTATTAATTTACAAGGCCCTTAACAATTTGGGTCCAAGATACCCTCAAGACCACCTAACTCCTTATATCCCTGCCCAATCACTGAAGTAGTCAGGGGAGTCGCTGTTAGTGGTTCAGATGCACAGCCCATATCCTCCACAAACTGGGGTGCCCAATTGTGGGTCCAATTTTATGTACCTCCCTTCCGATCAAGGTCAAACATGCCATGACCTTCCTACTGAACATCCGTCACCAGCAGGGATTTTAATTGTACTTCAATTTTATAGATTTAACTGATTTTTTTTATTATTTTGGTATTTTATCTTTGTAAACCATTTAGAGACTACTGTAGCTAAGCTAAATAAATAATTCCAGTGAATTAGCCAAAGGAAGACGAAATAATGTCTTCTGGTCATCACTGATGCAGCAAATCCAGCATTCCACCAAACCAAATCTTCCTTCTTTCTCAAGTGGATTTGCTGTCTGAACTTAAAGTGGCAGTTCTATGATGTTGGAAACAGATGATGGCGACTAGGCTTGCTGATGGTGATTGAGAAACAATGCCTACACTTTTGTCAACCACTGTGACTGAACTGGAGAACATAAGTCCCAATGAATATACAGGAAGCAATCCTCACCCCCCACCCCGGAGAATATGTGCTTTATTATGGGCACATATTCTTCCTTCAGAAGGCAGTAAATTACAGTATTTATGGAATCTTAATTATCTAAACACAGTTGGAGCCTGAAGGTCAAGGCTGCAAACGGCATCCTAAATTTCTGTTTACAGATGAAGTCGAGTATTTATTGCAGCGCTGTTTGTGCTGCTATAGTTAAAGGTCTGCCAGCGTTTCCATTATAAACCACTATTTCAGAGGTTTATAACTCACTCGTAAATCTCTACTTCGGGCTGAAACACAGTGCAAAACAAGGTCTCTACTGTGGAAGAGAGATTTCTCTCTCTCTCCCCCCCCCCACCAATTCTTCCTTGTTTGCTTTACCAAAATTGTTTTGTTTGTTTTTTAAAAAAGGTAAACCCCAATCTGAAATATACAAAATGCACTGCCAACTCTTATTAGACTCAGCAGATCACACATTTTGTGTAAATAGAAATGCAGGGCTATTTAGTAAGTTTTCAGAATTACAAGAGAAATAAAACGAAGGGTGTTTTCTCCCATAAATACTTTATGGCCTCTGAAATTATTAATGGAATGATTTTTTATATATATATACAGGGTTTTTCATGATTGTTCATACCACATCATCTCCATAGTTCTTACAACAGGGAAAGGTATATCAGTATTATTATTCCCATGATCAGTATTGTGTACATATTGGTGTTCAGAAACCCTCCCTCATGGCTTCTCTGAGACATACATAGTTTGTGGCTGTGGATCTGAATCTCGTTGTTATGCACATGCTGTTAAGGCCAGAATACAGATGACTCAGAAGATCTATAGTTGAATTGTTCCACATTGTATATACATTTAAAGCATCTTAAAAGTAGTTGCTGCAAAGGGTTTAAAATAGACTGGGGCAGTGACTCTGGCAGAAAGGTCGTTTAATCCACACAGCATTGACTTCCCTGGTGCTGCTTTTATCCCTATTGGGGAAAACAAGACACCTCTCCATTACATCATGCCCAGGCGGTTGCTGTTAAGAGTGACCCATTATACAGCATTTTCAATTTCAATCTTTGGTATGTTTTACATGTTCCTGGTATGTCTGCCATAGAGATATCAGGTGATTGACAGCTGGCCGGTGCTACAGTGGGTGGACGAGATAATTATCTGGACCCATTTCTCCACCCCTCGTTCTAGGCTCGTTGTTGGAAAAATAAAAATGACAGCTAGGTGAAGGCACTGCCTGGGAGTGCAACCCCCCAGCCATACAATCCCCCCACTTCTTGAAAGGCAAAAAAGAAGCAAGGCGGTATTTAATCTGACGCGACATATTTATAGAACTATTTATTCCTCAGTAATGGTGATTCACCACAATAGCAAAATGATCTGCTAAGAAATAGGAGTACACACACACAAAATGAAGATATGTAAATGTATACGTGCGCTTTTTTAACCATAGGTAAAGGTAAAGGACCCCTGACAGTTAAGTCCACTCACAGACGACTCTGGGGTTGTGGCGCTCATCTCGCTTTACAGGCTGAGGGAGCTGGTGTTTGCTTGCAGACAGTTTTTCCAGGTCATGTGGCCAGCATGACTAAGCTGCTTCTGGTGCAATGGAACACTGAAACCAGAGCAGCACATGGAAACGCCATTTACCTTCCCACCAGAGTGGTACCTATTTATCTACTTGCACTTTTTGGTGTGCTTTTGAACTGCTAGGTTGACAGGAGCTGGGACCGAGCAACAGGAGCTCACCCCATCATGGAGATTTGACCCGCCAACCTTCTGATCAGTAAGCCCAAGAGGCTCAGTGGTTTAGACCCCAGCGCCACCTGCGTCCCTTATGGTTTTTAACCATACAATGGCCAAATGCCCATAATACACACACACACACATTTGCGCTTTGTTAATTTGTATTTGTATCCTGCCTTTCCACCTAATGCTGCTCAAAGTGTTTAACAAAGGTAAAATACAAAACCATGTCCTACATATGAGTTGCCTATGTGTATCTGCTGAGGCAAAGCTGGTGGGGAGAATAAAGTGAACATAAGACAATCCTGCAAGCTGGAGTAGCACCTGCAGTAGCACCTGCAGTTCCCAGAAGGATATTGTATCTGAGAGCAGAGGGAAAACACAGCTGTGATGACAAGTAGTATCTATTGACTATTTGGTTAAATCCATCAAGAGAAGCCTTATGTTGCTCCAAAAGACTGTCATGAAGCCTTGAGTTTCTTTAGTGGAGTATATCTGCTCAGCACTGATGCCACAACAGAAATTTACAAATTGCATTCTAATCACACCTCTTCCCATGACACGACTTTAATTTCAATTTCATTCCCCCACCATTCCCCCCCCCGAAAGGATTATTCGTGTTTAGGAAAATGTGAAAAATGAGCTTTTATCTTGCCTTCTCGCTGAGATACGCAAGCATGGCAAGGCAGCTCCGAAAGCCAAAACAAACAAGATTACCATAGCAGTTGGCGCAAATGAGCGAAAAGAATCTTTTACCTGTAAAATCCCGGAGGGACCTGTGGAACTAAGAAGTTCCTCTCGAGGCTTTGCAAGACGTCGTTCAGCATTCTTACTCGGGTGGGAGCTCTCTCCTTCGGGTCGTTCGCTGGACGCATCTCATCCGACTGGAACAACTGGGCACTCTCCCTCAGGGCGTTGGCCATTGTTAGCAAGCGTTCAAGATTTAGATGTTCATCTGAGAGCAGTAAGAGAAACACACTATGGGTAAAAATGTGTTGAGGTTGACTGGAAGATCCACGTGCTCACTTGTGGTAGAACACACTTCTGAGTCACACTTAACCACTTGGCTCTGACTGGTGGGCCTTTGGGGTTGTAGTTTATTTGTTCCAAATATTTAAAAGGTAAAGGGACCCTGACCATTAGGTCCAGACGTGACCGGCTCTGGGGTTGCGGCGCTCATCTTGCTTTATTGGCCGAGGGAGCTGGCGTACAACTTCCGCGAACCAGACCAGTGCACGGAAACACCATTTACTGTACCTTCCCACTGGAGCGGTACCTATTTATCTACTTGCACTTTGACATGCTTTTGAACTGCTAGGTGGCAGGAGCAGGGACTGAGCAACGGGAGCTCACTCCGTCACGGGGATTTGAACCGCCGACCTTCTGATCGGCAAGTCCTAGGCTCTGTGGTTTAACCCACAGCGCCACCCGCTTCCAAATATTTACACACTGCTTAATGCCTAGTCTTTAAGCAGTGTGCAATAAGATTCCAAATTCAGATAACTGGTTAAAATTAAAAAACCTTACTTGCTGCTGAAATGAAAAGGTCTTGGCCAAGCACCAGAAACTCAACACAGAGGGGACTGTCTCCTGGTGGCTATAAGCCATGCATGTGAGTCCTGGGATGCCACCAGAAATGACTCCTCAGTGATAGGCCAGAGCAGGGTTATAAGGAATCAGGCAGTCTTTAAGGTATCCTAGACTCAAGTTGTTAAGCGCCTTGTAAATTAACATGAATCAGAACCTGACGCCTGCCCACTGCTGGGTTAAAGGGCAGTTACCCCTTCCCCTCCCAGTGATAAACTAAGTGTGAAACATTTTGCTCATACCGTAGCTACCCCTGTTTCACTCTAGCAAGCGAGGCAGCTTGAGTACATGAATGCTTCAGGGCAGAAGCATAATTTACAAGCGTTAAAAATCCACTGGTGCCCATTATGGAAAGCAATTGGTTACGCAGAGAAATGTTACTGCATTCAATCCAAGTCTGGAGAATAAATATCCATCCGGCATAACATGACTTTGAATAAAATCCAGTTACATGCAGCCTGTGCAATGAAAAACCTGCCGTATAATTCAGCAATCAGCGGTATGCATCTCCCAAGTTCCCTTTTTCTGGTGCCTCCAATTGTATTTATTTAACAACTTAAAATAACCAGATGAGATCATTCATCCTGATTCAAGCTGGGGAGGGTTGCATAACGAATTGGAAATGCAGGATAATAAAAGTGTTGCTGTTTCCCCTTGAGTGAGATAACATTTGTAATTTTCCCTCCTTAGGAGTGGTGTCGAAAGATGTTTAAGATAAAACTCGCAAGCACTTCCGAATAGAAAAGCCTACCAGTTGCAACCACTGTGTTTATCCAAGGGATAAATCACACGTGTCGCTGTCACTTCAAGGCAGCCATGTCCAGTATGATATGATAATAGGAACGCAACTGCACTTAAAATAATACTATTTATATCCAGAGGTGAACATAGCTGTAGGCTTGATAACGTCTTTGAAAGCCACTACTCAAGAACAATTCATATAGCTAGATTGCTAAGCGACTAGACTGATATTCTGGTATGCAAACCTTTAATTTAAGAAGGACAATCCTGGAAAAGGAAATTAAAAAATTTCTATATTCTGGTCAGTTGCCAATTTGATGCCAGACTAAGTTCAAGGACTTGGTCCTGGTGCACAAAGCCATAGGCAGCTTGAGAGGAGGACACCTGAATAATCATTTCACCCACTGAGATGCTCCACTGACCACTGTGTGGTACAGGAGAGGAACTCCTACAGGTACCACCTCATTGGGAAGCCCATTCTGCACTACGTAGGAATCAAGCATTTAGCATGGCTAAGGCTGCCATATGCCCGGAATTTCCCAGACATTCAGCCAGGATTCAGCCGTCGGAAACAGCACCTGGGCAGAAAACCACTTAGATGTGGCAACCCATATTACAAGTGTAGATTTTGGTGAATTTCCTTAAAAATAGCTCAAAAACTTTGGCCAAAAAACCTGTTGTGTCCGGATTTTCACTTTTTGAAATATGGCAACCCTAAGCATGGCAGCATCCACCTTTTGATACATATCAGACAGGTGCCATCTTTGTTGTCTTTTCAGGAGCAATTAAAGACCATCCTCTCCCAAAGTGTCTTTCTACTTGCGATCGTTATCCTAGTCTGTATTTGCATTGGGCTTGGGGTTGTTTTTATACATGTTTTTGTTTATTATTGCTAATTAAAAATGGATTGATTAACAATGGATTGCTAATATAGAGGGTTAGCATTTTCAGTGCCCTGTCCCAAGTCTAGGGCCTGCCCAAGGCATTTTGTTCCCTGAGATGAAGGGCAGGATGGCGCTTTCTCCTCCCCATTCCATTTACAAAGAGGAGCAGGTAGTGCTGTGGTCTAAACCACTGAGCCTTTTGGGCTTGCTGATCGGAAGGTTGGCGGTTCGAATCCCTGCAACAGGGTGAGCTCCCGTTGCTCTGTCCCAGCTTCTGCCAACCTAGCAGTTCAAAAGCACACCAGTGCAAGTAGATAAAGAGGTACTGCTGTGGCAGGAAGGTAAACGGTGTTTCTATGAGCTCTGGCACTTGTCACGGTGTCCCACTATGCCAGAAGCAGTTTAGTCATGCTGGCTACATGATCCGGAAAGCTGTCTGTGGACAAACACCAGCTCTCTCAGCCTGAAAGCAAGATGAGCACCGCAACCCCACAGTCACCTTTAACTGGGCTTAATCTTTTACCTATTCCATTTTATTCCATTTTATTCCATTTACAGAATCTGAACAGAGTGGCAACTGACTCTTCCTTCCACAGAGGTGTCAGGACAACATCCTCCACCATTCTGGAAGGCAGTAAGTGGGTTTGTGGGGGGCACAGAGCAGGGCTATTTTAGGAGACTGTTTGCAGCAGGTTGGGTACTGCAGCCCCAAATGTCTGTCACCTGAGGAAGCTGTCTCACACATCCTAATGGTCCTACACACACCATTTGCCATTGCTGTTTGATACGATAGGCATTGCAGATTCAACACAGAATTCATTGCTTTAAAAACAACAACACAAAATCATCTCAATACTGAAAACCTTCAGAAGTTCAGAGCAGAATAAATAAAGGCATCCATGAAAGCCAATTAACAAAACATTGTCTCGGGTGTTGAATTTGGGTGCAGGATCTGTTTAAACATTAATACCCAACCACCTGAGACTCCTATGCAGCTGCTTAGAATAGGTGGGTGGGTGGCTAGTTCTAGGCTTGCTTGTAAGGATGAGCAAATCAGTCTATTTTTGGTCTTTCTCAGTTTCACAGTTTTCAAATACAGTGGTGCCTCGCAAGACGAAATTAATCCGTTCCGCGAGTCTCTTCGTCTTGCGGTTTTTTCGTCTTGCGAAGCACGGCTATTAGCGGCTTAGTGGCTATTAGTGGATTAGCGGCTTAGCGGCTATTAACGGCTATTAACGGCTATTAGCGGCTATTAGCGGCTTAGCGGCTATTAACGGCTTAGCGGCTATTAACGGCTTAGCGGCTTTAAGAAAAAGGAAACAAACTCGCAAGAACTCGCAAGACGTTTCGTCTTGCGAAGCAAGCCCATAGGGAAATTCGTCTTGCGGAACGACTCAAAAAACGGAAAACCCTTTCATCTAGCGAGTTTTTTGTCTTGCGAGGCATTCGTCTTGCGGGGCACCACTGTATTATATTCTGTTCTCTGCATTTCCAATTCTGTCTGCAAATTCATTTCAAAAAGTCCTTGGACAGTCCACCAGCATTTTGCTACAAATATCTCCCGATAACCACATTTTTGTATGTGACTTCTTCCTAACATGCATATTTTTTCAAAGCAATTTTCTGACTATGATGTAATTTTCACCAATAAATGCATTTTAGGCCCACTTTGACCTAGTGTATACATTTTTGTACATGTTACTTGACTGGAGAACCACACCATAAAATTCAGAATAGAGCAAATTAGGAAGGATGGCTGTAATTGGTTAACATGTTGTTTCAGAAAGTTTAGATTAGATAGACCTGCCTTTAAAGGTGAACTGAATCCCTATCTGTTGCTGGAAGACAGGGGGCTATTCCTTTGTGGATTGGTTGTAGCTCAGCAGTAGAGCACATGATTTGAATGCAAAAGATCCCACATTCAATTCCTTACATCTCTAGGAAAGGATAGGAAAAAATTCTGTCTGAGACCTCTGCAAAGCTGCTTCCAGTCAGTGTAGGCAATTCACTGACTCCATATCAGGCAATTTCATATATCCCATGGAACTCATGTTCATAAATTCCACCAGAGGAAGAAGAAGAAGGAGAGTTTGGATTTGATATCCCACTTTATCACTACCCGAAGAGTCTCAAAGCAGCTAACATTCTCCTTTCCCTTCCTCCCCCACAACAAACACTCTGTGAGGTGAGTGAGGCTGAGAGACTTCAGAGAAGTGTGACTAGCCCAAGGTCACCCAGCAGCTGCATGTGGAGGAGCGGAGACACGAACCCGGTTCACCAGATTACAAGACTACCGCTCTTAACCACTACACCACACTGGCTCTCTGGAGGTGGGAGATGCACAATTCAGTCTTGGGTTTGGGATAGAGACACAACATCCCATTCAGGAAATCACTGTCATTAAAAAGTACCTGCCAAGCAGCTGTAATTTTTTTAAAGTATACAACAGGGCTTGTTGATTTAATCTGGCATTTTCCTTAGCTTTGGTTAATTCATTAGTTTCAGTCACTTCACTTCAAGGAAAGGAGGGTTATTTTCATGGCACTAATACTAGTAAGATAAGCTTTCTCATTTCTGTTAACTTTGCAATTTTGTTTAATGAAATTCCCCGCAGCTCCTCTGTCTCTAAAATCAGTTTCATTACACCGTCCACTTCTTTGTCTGATCTCATAAAGCTAAGGTTTGTAAAGTTGTCACGAGGGTTCGCTGCCCTTGCATTTATGCAGCCCAAGGCATACATTTATTGCAGCTACTGGATTAGTCAGGTTTCAAGGTGGAAACCGTAGGGCAGGGGTGGGGAATGTTTCTGAGCCCAAGGGCCACCTTCCTTCCTGGGGAACCTCCTGGGGGCCGCACGCCCATAGCAGGTGGAGCCAAGGGGGCAATAGATAATAGAATCATAGAGTTGGAAGGCACCTTGAGGATCATCTAGTCCAACCCCCTGCAATGCAGGAATATGCAGCTGTCCCACACGGGGATCGAACCTGCAACCTCGTGACTCTTACCTTTATACAGCAGGCTGCATTCTAGCCATGCACAAAGCAGAGGTCTCTACTCTCACTCCTGCACACAGACATCTTACCACTGTTCATCCAGGCAAGTTAGAGGCATTGTCCCAGTTCAAGGATAGCTCAGTTGGTAGAGTGTAAGACCCTTAAATTGAGGGTTGTGGGTTCAAGCCCCATGTTGGGCGAAAGATTCCTGCATTACAGGGGGGTGGACTAGATGATGCTAATGGCCCCTTCCAACCCTACAGTTCTATGATTCCAGCTAGGCAAAAGCAATTCAGGAAGTTGTGGAGCAGGCCTGGAGAGACGGTGTGGCTTGTTGGTATTATTTGGTAGTATTGGGGAGAAGGTGTGGCCCAGAGAGAGTCCCAGGGAACAGATAGAGAGGCCTGGGTGGTTGCATTTGGCCACCATGCTTGGGATTCCTGCTCTAGGGGCAAGGTTGACCCTCCCAAACACTGAAGGAGCAAAGCTGCTGCACATATTGTAGGTGCCAACGGCCAGCTGTGTTATTTCCTAGAGCCTGGGTCTCTCTATTTGCCTTCCCGGAGGCGGAACTGTCTTCTTTTTTCCCTCCCTCTCATCCAAACACACAGATCAAGGTCATTCATTTCTAACACAGAGCTTTCAACAACCGGCTGATAAATCAACTCGAGCAACTTATTCGGCATTAAATTATCCCGCTTCCTAGTGGCTGCAAGGAGAGAGGCGAGCCGGAGTGATCTGCTGCCAACGTGAACTGCGGCAATAAATAAGCAAGATGGCTGGTCTTCAAACCAAAGAGCCATGGGGGTTCAGTGCTCTTTCCCCTTTCCCTTTTCTCCATTTGTGGTTCCCCTACAAGGAGCTGGGGAGAAACACCCTCGCAGTTTGGACGCTAAAACGGTATTTATCCTTGATTGTGATTTAAATACTGGTCACTGGTATGACTTCTATTAAAAATTATACACAATTCTATTGTGTTGTCTCAACACAGTGTAAGATCCACTGACTTCACTGGAACTTACTCCTAAGTAAATGTGTAGCATTTATTATTATATAGTTTATAGTTTAGAAAATATTTATTGTAACTGTTGAGTGGATTTCTGTTTAATTTTTATATGGTGATGTTATTATTTTATACTATCCTAATGATTGTTGAATGTTAATTTTTTGATGTAAGTTGCTTATTTTAAAGCTGGGGAGGGCGGGATACAAATAATTTATTGTTGTTGTTGTTGTTGTTGCAAGTTTGGTCATAGTTGTTTCCATGTGCCCTCCTACGATTCCTGCTCCAAATTCATAGAATCATGAATTTATATGCTATATGCCAGTCTTTAATACAATTCACTTATCTTATTATGTCTATTTTCTGCTTGTTCTTTTTCTATGCAGTCATTGCTTGGTCTTTACATGTTGGGAACCTCTTCCTACCTTTAAAAAGGAGAAGTTTCCCTTTTTTAAGGATAAGAAGAGGGCTTCACATTCCTCTGTTTTTTCTGATCCCCAGGCTGGGCTAAGAAGAAATATTCCTCTTCCTCTACACCAGCATTGCCCCAGGAAGCTAAAATTCCACTCTGTGTGTGTGTGTGTGTGTGTGTGTGTGTGTGAGAGAGAGAGAGAGAGAGAGAGAGAGAGAGAGAGCCTGCTGCTGAGTCTGCTCCTCACCTTCTGCTGACATATAGCTCCTGAAGAAGTAGCCAAGCCTCAATGTGGTCCCCGGCCCAAAAAATATATCCAATCCTGATGCATAGGACTGCTCAGTGCCATATTTATGCATAAGCTAAACAAGCTATAGATTAGGGCCCCAGCCTCTTGGGGGGGGGGCAAAGAAATTAAAGGGGGGAAACCTGGATGTACATTTCCAAAATATAAGATAAAAACAAATGCAATAAAGCCTACATACAGCAACAGTGTTTTGTGTTGTGTAGGCTCCTATGATGTAAGTAATGGGCCCCGCCTGCTAGCCTGCTCCCTAAAATATCACTGGTTTGCTCATTTCTATATATAGGGTGCCTACATTCTGCATGGACGTTTTGCATGACAATATGTGCAAATGGCTTTAGAGACCTATTAGGTCCATAAATTAGCATATAGCATATATTCAACACAAATATATATACACATATATTCAATAAATGTTGACAAAGGACAGCTGGACATATAAAGGGCCCCATTACCTCCAGTAGCTTAGGGCCTCATCAAACCTAAATCCGGCCCTGGGAGTGCTGCTGTAATTTATAACACACAAATGCCTACACACTTTATTGGCTTACATGTCATACCCCACTTTTCTTGCAACATGGAGCCAAAGGTCCCTACATGGGACTCCTCAAGCAGTCACCCACCTAGACACTGATCACACCCAGACCTGCTGAGCAGCAATCAAATTCCTTCAGGCCATATCCTGGGTGTGCATACAACACATACAAAAATTTGGTCCAATGAAATAGGCACATACTGTTTGTTTACAGTCATGAAAAGCAAATGCTCATCATCAAAAAGCAAAGGGATAGAAAAAAAGAGACATTCACCAAGAATCCTTGGACCATGGAACAAATTACCTCTAAAGCTCTTCTGAACTTCTAATGCAATATCCAGGGCATTAAAGGGCAGTACTGGGTTGTTGGCAATTTGCAAAATTACTTCGCCTGTCAGCTGGAAGGAAAAAAGAAAAGAGAGAAAATAAATAAATAAATGGAGATCAAATAAATTTTAATACATTTTATGCCTAATAAAAAATGTCTATTCCGTATCGGTCTCTACAGCCACAGCAGGCGCTGTAACTCGCCGACGGTTTGACGTCACATCCAAAGTTGCATTCTTCCATTGTCTTTCAAAACAAATGCCAACGGTATTATACTTAAGCACAATATTCTGATCCATAGTTCACCATATGTTTCAATGCACACAATCAGGCCTCTTGCGCAAGCAGTCTTCTCCATTCATTTCAATGGCGGAAGTGGCATGGTATGAGCAAAATCATGTGTGTTTCACATAACCCCCTGTCTATCAAAATGAGCATCTTGATTTATAAGATCTCTTACCTGCCCTTCACCATAAAGTTCAGGATCTGGCTAAAACAATATATTATGCAATCATAAGCACAGACGAAACTGTTCCAACCGAAACAGAGCAGTATATATTTGACAGGAGAGACGGAGCCCACAAAACAAAATATAGTCATACCTCGCGTTACAGACACTTCAGGTTGTGTGTTTTCAGGTTGCGCATTGCGCCAAACCCGGAAGTACCGGAACAAGTTACTTGCGGGTTTTGGTGCTCGCACATGCGCAGAAGCACTAAATCACACTTTGCGCATGCACAGAAGAGCCGAATCGCAGCCCACGCATGCACAGACACGTCACACGGATCATGATCGCAACCCAAGTGTCCACTGTACCTTACCTGCATCTTCAGAATATGACAAAAGATGCACACACACAGTGGTATGTGGAGGAAGTTCCACAATTTATGGGCTGCCATTCTTTTTTGCACTTCTGAGGCCCCTATGCAGATCTTGACATCCCAGAGCACAGCAGATTACTCATGTTCACAGAGAATAATTGGATCAGGGGAAATGTCTGATTTAGAACAGTGGCCTTCAACTTGACCAGTTCGAGGATCCACCATTAATTCCAGCCTGATATATAGTATCACTTTCAGTGTTCTCACTTATCATTTTTTTTCAACCTAAACTATTTGCCTTTACTTACTGCCATTAGGGCTGTCAACCGTATGAAGGCTTTGCCCTTGATTAATGTTCTGTCTTTTCACCGACTAATCAATTAACTTTAAATGCATTTTGCATATTACCCAAAGGCACTGCAAGGTAAGATATTTCACCACTTAATAAACAAAAGCTCCACCACCCAAGAATAGAAAGAGTGGGCAGCATTAACATATGAATGTGCTTTTTATTATTATTCTATATTACATTAATACATTGGAACTACAACATAAAGAATATTGCATTAATAGTTGCTCTCACTGATTACAATGGGCTTCTGCCAATTCATCAACCTCATGTAGTTGACTAATCTATCAACAAACTGATTTCACACAAACATCTGCCTTTCTTTTTCTCTTACCTTCCTTCTCTCAGTCTTTCTTTCAACAATATAGTTGCTACATCCTTTACAGGCTGCAGCTTCTAGAGGAAGCCCCACATATGAGGTTCAGGCACCAAGTTTAAAAATCAGGGAAGGTTGCCCAGGCCTTTTAAACTTGACTCATTATTTTATTAACTCCTGATTTGGGGATTTTTTATTTTTATTTTTGCATTTGATAACATACTGTGTTTAGGGTTATCTGCTTTAGGGTTCGGTTTTAATTCTCAGGTATGCTACTTTTGACATTATATACAAACCGACATTGCTTCATGAAGATAAGCTGCCTTGAAAAGTCTCTTATGGCACAGTCTTCTACCAGTCTACTCAGAAGAAAACCCTGTTGAGTTCGAAGAGGCTTACTCATTGCTGTTTGCTCCGATTTAGTGGTAAAGAGCAGGTTTGTGTAATAAAATAAAATAAAGCTTAAAAGTGCGACCCATGCACTTTTTACAGAGCAAACAGCAACCCACAGAAAACCCAAACTGTTGTTTGTTGCACTTCAGCTATAAAGAGCAGGAACTCATTCATGGGGAAAGATCTGGGGCAAATTTGGAACTTTAAAGTGCAGACCTTTGCTTGGCCATAGCCTCATGTCAGTGATTTGAAGGCCACCTGAGGGGGACAGGATGCCTGCCTGTGGATTGGCCAATAGTAGGCAGGCCTGGGCCTGGGCATTCCCCAGGGGGCGGGACTTCCCAGCTGATGAGCATTGCTTGGTTCTGCCCCTCGGTTTTCCTTCCTTGCCTGGCTCAACTAGCAGTTAGGCTTTGGCTAGAGGGGAGGTTGTAGCCTTTGCCTGCTCCTCCAGATGTTTTGGGACTACAACTCCCATCAAGGCTCAAGGCTGCCCTTGAGACTCACCCAGAAACTCCAGCGGGTGCAGAATGCCACGACGAGACTCCTTACAGGGTCCTCGCTGCGAGATCACATTCACCCGGTGCTATACCAGCTGCACTGGCTCCCGGTGGAGTACAGGATCAGGTTTAAGGTGCTGGTTTTAACCTTTAAAGCCCTATACGGCCTAGGACCCTCGTACCTACGGGACCGCCTCTCCTGGTATGTCCCATGGAGGAACTTCCAATCTTCAAACAAAAACATCTTGAAGGTCCCAGGCCACAGAGAGGTTAGGCTGGCCTCAACTGAGCCAGGGCTTTTTTGGCTGTGGCTCCGATCTGGTGGAACGCTCTGTCACAAGAGACTAGGGCCCTGCGGGACTTGACATCTTTCCGCAGGGCCTGCAAGACAGAGCTGTTCCACCAGGCCTTTGGCCAGAGCACAGCCTGACTCCCTCCTTTGGCAATCTTCACAGAACTCTAGCCCAATGGTTGCCATCAATTTGATTTGAATTAATTTTATAATGAAATGATTTTAAAATGTTGTATTATTTTATTGTTATTAGCCGCCCTGAGCCTATTATTATTATTATTATTATTATTATTATTATTATTATTATTATCATTATCATCATCATTCCTAGCTAACAGGACCAAGTGGTCAGGGATGATGTCTCAAAACATCTGGAGAGCAGAGTTTGCCTATGCCTGGTTAAGGGTATACTGTTAAAGGGATCTGTGAGGTGTTGCATCTGTCCCATGCCCCGGTGGGGGCTAGGGCCATAGAACTCCTCCAGTGGGGACCCTTCAGGGGGTACTCCTATTTGATGTAGGTCATAGGGGCCCCCATAGTGTGGTTTACCCTTAGATACACTCCCAGCAGACAGGATGGAGTTGAATAAATGGCTTCACCCAATGCCTATGCCTAAACCTCATATCTGTAACCATTAAAGCTGTGGCCTATTTGAACCCCCAAACTCTATACGCTGTTGTCTGGTCTGGTTATTTCATTACGTAGTGAGCGACTGGGTCACGGGGCCTTGGCACGCAAATTACTCTGTACTATCTGATATTTGAGAAAGAATAATTGTTGACACCCAGAAAAGATGTTGTTGGAATATTATCGAACATCCAGGATTTCTGGAGACATGGGAAAGTGGGGAAAAAGATATCCCAGCAGGATATCTTAAAAGCCTGCAAAGAAATTTGGGGCAGGACACATTCACAGTACATGGAGACAGAGAGCACACTATAGATCAGTTTGAAACCCACTTCCAAGCAGGGGCAAGATCTGAAGCTGTAAAGATTTCTACCTAAAGGGGAGAAAATGCCAGGGAGGCTGCTGAGAAAAAGAGCTGTCATCTTCTGTGAAGGAAGAGCAAGGAGGTGAAAGGAAGCTCTGCAGAAGAACAAAGTTAATGATATCCCAAGGGACCAAGAAAGAAACTGGAAAGTTAGATCAGCATTTTTAAAAAAACGATGGGTGGGGGTAGCTAGGGATGGAAGAATATATTTTTTCTGTTCCAGATTGTATCCATTGCATGCAGTGCTTTTCCCGTTCCACTGCAGTTCACCTTCTGCCCAAAACCACGTCATTCATCTCTCTGTCCAATGTGGCAAAATTATGTCCCTTGAATAATTTGCATATTTTATTATTTAAATCACACCAATTACATTGCCATTGTATTATTCCACCTCATGTGTTTCAATGCAAAAGGAAACACAATGCAAATTGGTTGGGGGGGGGGGACGGACGGACACAATTTATCATTTGCAGACTGAAAAGGACAGCAGCAGCAAATACTGATCATAGCCGTAGGATCAATTTCCATTACAGACAATAGATGAATAAGCAAACACAGTCAATTCCCCCCCATGTTTTTTTAGGAATTCCCCATCATGCTTGGGTGCCAAATCCCACATCCCAATGCTTAGCACACCTAGTGAAGACTTAACAATACATTTTTCCAGAAACTGGATCAGAATACTGACCGTTCCTCAGAATAATCCCCTTTTATCAAACTAAGTGGAAAAAATTAAACTTACCAACTGATAACTAGCTAGATAAATGTAATTACATTGTATTTCCCTCTCAAGAGCTCAAGGTAGTATGCATCAAGCAGTCTCTTCCGTACAATGTAGAAATTGGGCCTTTAAAGGTAAAGGTAAAGGTATCCCTGCCTGTACGGGCCAGTCTTGACAGACTCTAGGGTTGTGCGCCCATCTCACTCAAGAGGCCGGGGGCCAGCGCTGTCCGCAGACACTTCCGGGTCACGTGGCCAGCGTGACAAGCTGCATCTGGCGAGCCAGCGCAGCACACGGAAACGCCGTTTACCTTCCCGCTGGTAAGCGGTCCCTATTTATCTACTTGCACCCGGGGGTGCTTTCGAACTGCTAGGTTGGCAGGCGCTGGGACCGAACAACGGGAGCGCACCCCGCCGCGGGGATTCGAACCGCCGACCTTTCGATCGGCAAGCCCTAGGCGCTGAGGCTTTTACCCACAGCGCCACCTGCGTCCCCAATTGGGCCTTTAGGGTTGCCTTATTTCATGAAGTAAAAAGCTGGACAGTTGTTGAGCCCCGAAACTTGTCGAGCTTCTTTTGCATGATCGCCCGTCTGCGCCAGACCCCGATACAAAGCCGGAGCCCTGCCGTTTCTCCCGAGCCCAAACCAAAACCGCCGGCGCACAAAAAACAAAACAAAACAAAACAAG